CACATCCTTAACCAACCTGGAAATTTTCAGGTATTTTTTCATTTTAGCCATTATGGTGGGATGTAGTTGTATCACATTTTGAGTTTTCTTTGGTGATTAATTAAATTAGACAATTTTCAAATGCTCTTTGGTTATTGGAAAATCACTTTTTGTGACGCATCTTTCAAGTATCCTTGCTCATTCTTTCTAAGTTGTTTTATCTTTTTTTATTACTGTAAGGAATCGTTTATAATTCTGGATATATAGCCCTGTCATATGACATTGACTGCAAAACTTCTCCCTTTACCGAGGAGATTACCCTTATAAAGCTTTTTAGTAGTGCTTTTAAATGAACAGGAAATTCTTTAATGATAGACTGGGCACGGTGGCGTCCATTCCTGTTAATCCAGGCAATTTGGGAGGCCGGCAAGGTGGGGATCAACCTGAGGTCAGGAGTTTAAAAACCAGGCCCTTGCCCAAAACGTGGTGAACCCGTTGTCCTACTAATACTAAAGTTAGCTGGGCGTAGGGGGCAGATGCCCTGTAATCCCATCTACTTGGGGAGGCCCTGAGCAGGAGAAATCACTTGCGAACCCCCGGGGAGTGGGAGCGGAGGTTGAGTGAGCAAGATTGTGCCTTTGCACTCCAGCCTGGACTCATCTTCAAAATAAATAAATGAGTAAAAGGAGAATTCTTTAATGTTAATATGTTGGGAACCTTGTGTTTATTTCCTGTTTGGTATATGTATACCTGTTAAGGAAAACTACTTACGCAAATGTCATGAAGATTGTCTATGTTTTCTGAAAAGTTTATTGCTTTATCTCTTATGTACTTTATATTAAAAGTATACTACAGTTAAAATATACCCTTTTAGTGTATTAGTTGTCTTGCCCAAAATGTTGACCAAAGGAATAGTCATGTTAATCCACCGCCCATTATTAATATACAGAAAATTTTAAATACAACAAAAATTCCTTCTGTCCCCTTTTGTGATTAATTTCCTTTGCCAAACCCTATTGCTTTTTATTCTATTCCTATAGTTTTGTCTTTTCCAGAATGTCATTCAGTGAATTCATAAAGTATGGAAACTTTTGTGTCTTGCTTCATTCACTTAGCACAATGCATTTGCGATTCATCCCTGTTGAAGCATGTATAGGTAGTTCTTCCCTTTTATTGCTGAACAGTGTTTCATTGTTTGAATGTTCTGCAACTTGTTAATCCATTAACTAGTTGAGAGACATTTGGGTTCTTCTGGTTTGGGTAGTTACATATAAGGTCACTATAAACAATCATGTACAGGTTTTTGTGTAAACTTTTCATTTTGGTAATATGTAGGAGTGGGGTCTCTAAGTTATGTGGTACATTTATGTTTAACTTTATAAGAAACCACCAAATTGTTTTCCAAATGTTGGTACCATTTTGCATTTAAACAATAAGAAATTTTAGTTACTACTCCTTCTTGCCAATGTGTGGTATTGTAAAGTCTTTTTATTTTAGCTATTCTAATCTTTGTGTATTGGTATTTGGTTGTGGTTTTAACTTGCATTTCTCTAATGACTAATGGTGTTAATTTCAGGTGCTTATTTTCCATCTGAATATCTTCCCTGGGGAAGTGTCTGTTCAAACCTTTCTGCCTATTGTTTACTCTTAAAAATTGAGTTATGAGAGTTCTTTATGTATTCTAGATGCAAACTTATTATTAAACATATGATGCGCAATTATTTTCTCCCAGCCTATGGCTTGACTTTTCAATCTTGTATAAGCCATATCAGGCTTATACAGTGAATCTTAGGGAACCAATAGATATTGTGTTTTAGGCTATTCCTGTGTAACTGAATAATTCTTTTTTCCTTAATATGTTACAACATGTGAAACTCTTCTAAATCTGAGTAAAATAAGAATATAGACTTCTGTAAGAGAAAAAATCAGAAAAAACTGATATAAAATTGAGTCTCCTCTTTTTGTGGGATCAAACATAGTAGTAGTAAGGTTATGTTTGTGAATAGCACAGGTATAGTAATACCAGGGCTAAAACTAGAAGAGAAAGTAGTAAGAGCACAGCTGTAATTAATACAGATCAAATAAATATCAATTTTTGATGTTGGATATAGTTTGTGGTTGAATATTAATAATTGTTATAATAACATTAGTAGCACCTAACGTTGATGAAATACTTGCTAAATGTAATGAGAAAATGGTTTGATCTATAGAGGCTCCTGCCTAGGCTAAATTTCCAGCTAAAAGTGCTGTTTTAAAGCTCTAAAATAATTTCACTTCCATAGTTTGCTACGTGAGTGACTATGGAATATATGGAGTATATTTTGATATGATAAAATGTATTGTAATTTCCCCTCCCTGCAAGAGTGTTATGTCACACCTCATCAGACCACATATGTGAGTAATTGACCTTAACTACTAGACTCCAAAATACATATAAACCTAAGATTTTGAGAGACACTTTGACAGCTCAGACTGTGGCAAAGCCCCAGACAGGTGGGTAGACTGGTCACCCTCTTTACCAGCAGCTTAGACTATTGCAGGAGGAGGAATGATAGGGGCAGAAATCAGAAACCTATTATGTGTTCCTGGGAATACTTTATCTGGGGCCCCAATTATTAATGGAATTAATAAATTACTGAAACCACTGATTATAATAGGTAAAACCAAAAAAATTATTGCAAATGTATAGGCAGCAATGGTAACGTGACAGATTTGATCATCTCCTAACACATAGCTCCTGGTTGACCCAATTCAGTAGGGACATGTCCTACACATGTACCCTAGAACTTCAAATAACAATAAAAATTTTAAAAAGCCCACAAGCTACAAAAACAAAAAAACAAACAAACAAAGAAGATGGAGGGCAGTCCCCACTATTCTGGCTTAGGCACCAAATTATAATGTGTCAATGTTTTTGTGGTTTGTTGAGAATAATCAACAATTAACGAACATAGGGAGAAGCAAGGTAAAAATGGCTGAGTGAGCATTAGTCTGTAAATCTGAAGACAGAGATTAAACCCTCTTTTCACCAAGTCCTGAGGTGAAATTTCACACTGAATTTGCAAAGTTGAAGGAGCAGCTTCAATTCTGGAGTGTTAGGGGGCACTTCTCCTGCCTTTTTTTCTCCAGGGAGGGAAAAGTAGATTAAAGCCAGTTGGTTAAGATATTTAGCTGCTAACTAATATAGTAAGTGGATATTATTATATTATTAAAATTAATAAATTATCAATTATTAAAATCCTTCATAGGCCATCAATATTACTGAAGTTATGAGTACAAAAGCTATGAAGACCTAAACTGCAACCCTTATATAATTCCCACAGCTGAGCAAAAGCCAGAGAAGCATAACTAATCAAGGTTAATAACCACAGAAAAGTCAATCAGCTTTTTAATTCATTAACAACAATTTGGAATCCGAATCTATCCTGTTTTTGATACAATTCCATAACAAATTGCATTGAAGCTAACGTATCTTCTCAGAAAAGAAAACTGTTTTCAGGAAATAAATGGCCTTACAAGCCAAGTGACAGTGGAATCTGGGGCTCATGGGAAGCAAGTGAGCTGTTAGGCATGGCATGACTTGAGAAGTAACAGCGCATCTTCTTTCCACCTCATTTAAAATTTTTTTCACATAGCCGCCAGAGTTCATGGAATTTCAGTTTGAAGTGTGTCTGTCAAGGTTTTGAATAATTCTATTAAATGGGACATCTGTTACCCATGAAAGGAGGTTCAGTAAGCCTTCTGCGGTCATGGTCACATTATACTAAAGCAATTGGTCTGTTAGATGCCGTACAAGGCCTTGAGTAATAAGTATTTATGGACAGAAAGGGATTTTTGCTCTCAAGATGATTACAGTATAGGAGCTAAATTTAAATTGTGAGCCAGATGATCTCTATTATACTATTGTAGACCATGGCCAGAATTGCCATGCTCACTTGCCTTCAGAGCTTGTAATATCAGAGATACTACAGCCTTGCACTGCTTTTCAAGGGGAATGCTTCCAGCTTTTGCCCATTCAGTATGATGTTGTCTCTGAGTTTTTTTCATAGATGGCTCTTATTATTTTGAAGTATGTTCCTTCAGTGACTAGGTTGGTGAGAGTTTTTAACATGAAAGCATGTTGAATTTTATCAAAAACCTTTTCTGCATCTATTGAGATGATCATGTGGTTTTTGAT